GCTCCATGCAGACTCCTTCCTTAATGTCCCTTGTTGTATACGCTATGTCAACAAGAAAACTTCATAATCTCAACACAAGATAACCCTTATTGTACCGGCAGACTTGATAACTATAAATATATGCGATGGTAGGGACCATATATGTTAAATTCCTCTGATCTTCTTGGGGGTGATGATGCAGCCATGTCAAGCTTCTGTGAGATTGAGCTCAGCGAATTTGGAGATCCTAACGGCAAGCTAGTTATCAGACACCACGGCCCAGGCCCTCCCGTTCGGGGCTTTCGACACTGCTTAATGCACTCTTCGCGCTCACGCCTCGTGAAATACCTGCGATACTGAAAACAATTTTCGCTACATTCGAGTCCCAGAGTCGCATTGCAGTTCACTCACCTTCAGTCTTCTATTCAAGAACTTAAAGATCCTATTGGCGAGGAGATCAAACAATAGGGGGCGCTGTTTCATTATCCTCATCATCACCACAAACAATCGCTGCGTGGCAAACAACTCCGACGCTAGCACTGGCCTATAGCGTACGTCGCATTCTTTCTGCGCTCGCTGCGTATTTATTTCTAGCGATATAGTGCGCACCTGCTGCGTACCGCGGTGCTCAAAGCATGCTTTTGAACCGGGTATGTGCAGTGCGGAGAATTACAGCACGTACGCGACGATGCGGACACTGTCCGCCGTCGGCTCTGGTGCAACGCTGCACTTGATGACATTATCGCAGTTGAACACGTCCACTCCTTCAACGAAACACCGCTTGCTTTCGCCGATTTCGTTCATGAATGTCGCAAGAGACAGGGTAACTGAAAAGTGAAGTGCGTCTTTTGTGAATCATTCAGAAAAACACGGACGCCGCGCCGGCCACGCACGATCCAGCGCTCGCGGCGGCCCGGCACGCCCGCGCGGGATCACACATGCGCTTGTTTTGCCTTCCAATAGAAGTTCGACGACATTGAACGCAAAAGGGGACTAGATTCCTTCTATTTAGATCCGTTAATAGAGTTGTTACATACATTTCACGAGCCTTGAGTCGTCGTCTTCCATGGCAGCGAATGCACTTATGACTGTGGTCGGTGGGTCTGTTTGCCACACAGCGTTAGTTCCTCAGGTGCCCGCTAGGGAGCGCCACTCCTGAATCTCCTACCCAATACACCTGTATTTGAAAGTAAACGTATTCGGCAGAAATCTGCCTGGGTTGGGTGAGAGGTAAAGTTCGAAAATGTAGCTCCAACCAATATTTGAAAGGCAACCCGACGTTTCAAAACCAACTCTGTTTCTTCTTCAGGGGTGACTGAAGGCACGCCGGACAGCAGCAGCCCGAAACGTCGAGTTGCCTTTCAAATATAGGTTGGAGTTACATTTTCGAACTTTAATAAACCTCTATGTTTTGCTGTTTCATGCATTTGTGTGTGTGAAAGTTTGAAAATTTAGGAAACATTAAAGTATTAATGGGACTAATAAGATCAACACTTGCATGGAAGTCGTTTTTTAGAGCGCAGCTCTTAGGCGCCCGTTTTCGGCTTGAGCGGCGTCGCCGTCGCCCTCGGCGTAACCAAGGTCAACCCAAGGTCACGTGACCCTCAAGGTCACCCTAAGGTCACGTGACCCCCAGGTCATGTGACCCCTCAGGTCATGTGACCCCTCCCAAAATCACGTGACCCCCAAGGTCATGTGACCCTGACGTGACCCCCCGAAGTCACGTTACTCCCCTGAGGTCACGTGACACCCCTAAGGTCACGTGACCCCAAGGTCACGTGACCCCCGATGACGTCATCGTCACTGATGTCACCGGCATCCGCATCGTCATCGTCACTGATGACGTCACCGGCATCCGCATCGTCATCATCACTGATGACGTCATTAGTGGCTTCACTGATGACGTCACCGACATCCGCATCGTCATCGTCATCATCACTGATGACGTCATCAGTGACGTCACTGATGTCACCGGTATCCGCATCGTCATCGGCATCATCACAGATGACGTCACCGACATCCGCATCGTCATCGTCACTGGTGACGTCATCAGTGACGTCACTAATGACGTCATCGGTATCCGCATTGTCATCGTCACTGATGACGTCATCAGTGACGTCACTGATGACATTATTGGCATTGTCATCGTCACGTGACCCCCATGTCACGTGACCCCCAAGGTCACGTGACCCCTCCCTCCGGTCAGTTGCCCCCCCCCCCCCCCCCCGAGTACCCTTCCCTCCTCCTCATGAGCTGCGCTCTAATTCGGCATTACAGGGAGTTGTAAACGGCTTTCACTTTTTAGAGCACAGCTCTTAGGCGCCCGTTTCCGCCTTGAGCGGCGTCGCCGTCGGCGTCGGCGTAACCGGGAGTAACCCTCGTAACCCTCGTGAGGGTTACGAGGGTTACTCTCACGAGGGTTACCCTCGTAACCCTCGTAACCCTCACGAGGGTTACGAGGGTTAGTTACCCTCAAAAGGGTTACCCTCACGAGGTCACGAGAGTTATGAGAGTTACCCTCACGAGGGTTATGAGAGTTACCCTCACGAGGGTTACTAGGGTTACCCTCACGAGAGTCACGATGGTTACCCAGGTCACGTGACCCCCTCCCAAGGTCATGTGACCCCACCCCCCCGAGGTCACGTGACCCCCGTTGACGCCATCGCCACTGATGACGTCACTAGTGACGTCACCGGTATCGGCATCGTCATCGTCATCATCACTGATGACGTCATCAGCATTGTCACGTGACCCCCCCGCCACCCGAGGTCACTTGACCCACCCCCCCAGTCCCCTTCCCTCCTCCTCCTCAAGAGCTGCGCTCTAATTCTGCGTTACAGGGAGCTGTAAACGGCTTTCATTTTAGAGCGCAGCTCTTAGGCGCCCGTTTCCGGCTTGAGCGGCGTCGCCGTCGCCGTCGCCGTTGGCGTCGCCGTCGGCGTAACCGCGCGGTGCATTATGAATAAATTTCCCCGCTAAATCTAGCGGGAACATTTTCCCGCTAAATCTAGCGGAATTCCCCGCTATAGCGGAAAAATTTCCCCGCTAAATCTAGCGTAAAAATTTTCCCGCTAGATCTAGCGGAAACATTTCCCCGCTATATCTAGCGGAACAATTTCCCCGCTAAACAGCGTAAAAATTTCCCGCTAGATCTAGCGGAAAATTTGCCCCGCTAAATCTAGCGGAAAAGTTCCTCCGCTAAATCTAGCGGAAAAAATTTCCCCGCTAAATCTTGCGGAAAAGTTTCCCCGCTAAATCTGGCGGAAAAAATTTCCCCGCTAAATCTAGCGGAAAAAATGTTCACGCTAAATCTAGCGGAAAAAATTTTCCCGCTAAATCTAGCGGAAAAAATTTCCCCGCTAAATATAGCGGAACAATTTCCCCGCTAAATTTAGCGTAAAAATTTCCCGCTAGATCTAGCGGAAAATTTGCCCCGCTAAATCTAGCGGGAAAATTGCTCCGCTAAATCTAGCGGAAAAAATTTCCCCGCTAAATCTAGCGGAAACGTTTCCCCGCTAAATCTGGCGGAAAAAATTTCCCCGCTAAATCTTGCGGAAAAAATTTGCCCGCTAAATCTAGCGGAAAAAATTTCCCCGATAAATCTAGCGGAAAAATTTTGGTCACGTGACCCGGGGGGTCACGTGACCTGGGGAGTCATCTGACATCCCGAGGTCACGTGACCTCTGCGGGGGCACGGGATTGCCCCCAGGTGACCCCACCAAGGTTACGTGCCCTCGGGGGGTGTCACGTGACCCGCCCCCCCCCCCCCCCCCCCCCCGAGAACACGTGGCCCTCAGTACCCTCCCCTCCTCCTCCTCAAGAGCTGCGCTCCAATTCGGCGTTACAGGGAGTGGTAAACGGCTTTCACTTTTTTATTTGCACTTGCAATGCAATTACTTACACTCGCAAAAAATATGTTACAATAAAAGAGCTCAGTTGAATAAATGCAAACTGGCTACTTCTCTTGGACATTGCCGAAGTATTTCACGTCCTTTTTTGCACGCGGAGCCGCTCATATCTTGTTCATCGTGAATTAGGCTTACGTTTATGTCACGTCTTTTGTTAATTTATGTTCTCAAAGAAAGGTTTGGTTGAGCGACTAAAGTTTAATTTTCGAGCCCTTTTCAAACAGCCAGTTGAGCTATTCCGTGTGTAGAGTTCTCAACTCAACGCAATTTACTGGATCTTGAGAAACTTTGGAAGAAGGGGTGAGGTAATCAGACTATGACTTCCTGTACATAAACCGAAAGATAAAAAAAGTATGTACATTATCTTTCTAAAATGTCTCAAAATATCATCTTTTTTGTGTTTTTTGTATTAAAAAAATCTGAAAACATTTTCACCAACTTTTTTTTCGCATCAGAATGAGATTTAGTCGTTTCTTTGACAATCGTTGGTGCCGAATTGGTCGGCTCCAAAGTGTGCACAGGACGTTTCCTTTATTTTAGCCCTTCCCATCTACTTAGACCATCATCCAAATTTTTCTTCCCTTAGTACTAATTTGTTCATTCACAGGTTGTCTCATGAACCCAGATTTTGTCTCGCACTTTTGATACCGCCCTTTAACGAACGCTGTGACCTCATTTGGGCCGCAAAGGGATGACCTTGAGCACAGAACCGATTCAGAATAACAAATTACCTCGCAGCAACTCCGACAACATGTTTAATATTATTTAAAACGACATCAAAGGCCTTAAAACATTTATTTTCGGCCTCCGGTCGATCACGATCTACGGGCCTGCTTACACGAATGCCTTAGTGCGGCAGTAGAATATCGGAATCAAGCCGTGTAGAGTGAATGCGAAGAGCCTCATTTTACTTGCGAATTGTACTCTATTAGGAACGCTTTTTAGGGAACAAAAACTGAACAGATTTATAGCTTAGCTGACAGTCGAACACACTTTTCACCTGCTACTTTCTGTCGGTTTTTGGTTGTATAATTTTAGACGAAAGCACCCGACAGGTGAGTGAGACTTCAGGGTACACGAGGCTACAATTCGCGAAGAATAAGCGGAATTCAGGTTATAAATGATTTATTATTGTAAAAGAGCTCATCCATGGTTTCAGAACAGCACTCTGTAAGTAGAAAAGTGCGTTCACAACAAGTGTTCGGCTGTACAATTCGGTGTAGAATTTCATGAGCACGTCTTATCAATGCACAGGTTCCGGTACACTGCTAGCACGCACACGCGCTTTTTTGGAATTTGTTAGAAAGGGTAAGAATACGGGCATCATTTTTTTTTTACCTCTTAGCCTAAATGAGCCCGACCCACCACCGTATTCGTTTTTATGACGGTTTTTGTTCGCGCTAACAGTGTCGCGCTCTGTACGCACGCAACCATTAAGCTGCCGGCTCTAGCAAAGCGTACAAACGAATGACAATGTCGCAAGTTTGCCCAATAGGTTGGATTAATACGCGCACGGAATATGCGAGTTAACACACCTTAAATTTATCTCTGTGGGTTGAAAAATGATGCAGAGACAACTACGAATAATTAAAAAAAGACACATCCAAGGCCACGCCGTCAGTGTTATTTAGGACGCCACCTGAGCTTCTTCCCTAACTAATGATTCCCAAGGTAATGGAAATCATTAGAAAACCAATATAAAAATAAACGGAGAGTATATTTTTTTTACATTTGGAATTTAATCTGGTTAATGTCCCAAACAAAATGCCAAATATAAACAGAATAAAACCCAATTAAAAACGAAATTAGCAATTTTGTCACACATCAGAGATTTGATCCGCACAAAAATGACACAGCTACATTCAACTACTTCAACGAATACGCTATGCAGCAGCTTTACAACAAAACTGCCTAAGAAAACATCGGGTTCAAAAGCAAAATAAAAAGAAACCTGTGAAACAAGCGCAGCAAACTATAAAATATTGAAAAATAGCTTTAAAATTTACTTTCTTTTGACTTATCTACTTTTGTAAAATTTTTCCGCTCAAAAAAAAAAAAAAAAAGGACATAGCTTGCAACAGATGTAACGTTCTTTGAAGCCCAAAATCGACTAATTAAGAATGCACCTTAAGCTACGTTTTTTTTTTTTTAACTTGCAGCATCTTCCAATGAAGTTAAATAAAACTCCAAGCATTGCCCTAAAAAAGAAAATCTGAATTTGTCCCTCCATAAAGTTTCTGTACATAAAAAAAAAAAAGAAGTTCCAGATAAGGCACGAACCTTAGCTGTGCATTGCTCCAATTCTGAGCAGCTCACATTTTGTCGTCCACAGCCGGCAAGCTCGCTCGTAATAATTCATACAGCGTTTCATATCATTTTGAAGCTCCTTTGTCCTTCGTGATGCAGAAAGGCTGTTACGAAATTAGCCAAACGGCCCCTAAATGAAGAGGTTACCGGACAAAAGCTCACCGGACAAAAGCTCACCGGACAGAAGCTCACCGGACAAAAGCTCACCCGTTTTTTCACAAACCCGGACAAAAGCTCACCTCATTTTTTCTCGCTACTCGGGCTAAACACGGGCTGAAATAAAATGCGGACACGATGGATATTGGACCATTTTTTGGTGAACTTGTACCCCATCCCGCGCAAGGGTTTACTACGGTTGCTCGAATGCCATTTCGTCGAAACATGTTTTAGAGAACGGGCACGTTTCATTGAAGCACGGTTCAGAGAAAGAAGAGCCACAGTTTAGATATATGCCGTTAATCGAAATGGGGACGCCATTTAAAAAAAGGCTTTTCTACTTCGCGCGTGTATCACTGTTGCGCGTGTTAACCCAAACCCCTGCTGCAGTCTGCGGCGGCTCATTACAAAAATGTTAACTCACCTGACTTATCCGTACACGCCGCTTCGCAGTTGCCGAATTCGCTAAAAGGAGGCTCATCGCCTTTTTCTCTAAACTTGGGTTCTCTATAAGACCAACTTGAAATGTTTTCCTGGTGAGCTTTTGTCCGGGTCTGTTAGAAAATGGGTGAGCTTTTGTACGGTGAGCTTTTGTCCGGTGAGCTTCTGCCCGATGAGCTTTTGTCCGGTGAGCTTTTATCCGGGATTCAAATGGAGACTGGGAGATGCAAGATAGTTACTTGTTCGACTGAAATAATGACGTTATGTGACGGAAACTGGCTCAGATGGCAGAGAGATCGTTCACATTTTCTCGAAATTTCTCATTTCAGGGTCTAGACACGATAGAACGAATCACTTTTTAGATGCCCCACTTACGTTGGAGCGTTAAGAAAATCCGATACTTTGAACTGGCAGTACAACATACATTTCTACTTCAGATAACCTTCTATTGATTGCACGAGAGTGCCCGATAAGGTGACCCCAATTTGAACTCCCCATTAAATTGAACAACTACTTCAATAACAACTATGTAGCTAACCAATTCCGGCAGCTTTAGCTTCCACGAAACAAATTCGTAGAAGTTAATGCTGTATGGACATGATAGGTGAATTTTCACATTCGTCAGGGACCGCAACTGGCAACGCCTGTCCTGCTTATTAATCCATAATAATATTCCTTAATCTGCAGTTTATAAAATATAAATCTTTGCCAATGATCGATTTCTGCTTACAATGTTAAATCTTGTCATGAAGAGGATATGCACTGACACGATTTAGACTTGATTATATTGTGATACATGCAAATATGCCTCAATTATCAGAAAGACATTTGTTAGCAAACTACTAAACATACTTCAAGACTCTGAAGTCAGTGATTAATCACATTCTGATTAAATACGCTTATTTAAATTACGCCTGTCTTGCATCTAAAATTCTTCCAGAGACCCCCAAACATATACTTTTATTCCCTACAACTCCTTGGTGCATGTATGTTTGATTAGTCGACTATCTAACTTCATTATTCTCATTTACTCAGCTTAAAACACTCCGATCCGTTAATTTCCTGAACGTGTCATTATCATCTATCCCGGTTTAAGTCATGTGCGAAGCCATCTCGAAGTCATCAAGACAAGACACTTCAGTCCACTTTAAATGCACTTAAATACATGACTGTTTTACTGACCCATTTGCTGAAATGTGTTTCAATTGAAGAAAAAAAAACACATTTTAGCCTCGGCCATTTATCCAGTTATTTAACGGGTTCTTCGCAATTAACATAGTGTGTATGCAATTTTTATCTTATTTTGTGTTGCAACCTAAGAAAGGAATGGGTATAAGTCTAGTTATCTTTCCACGACTGCTATGTAGTTTCAAAATTAAAGCTGTAATCACGGTATCATTGCTTGTAGTGGGACTGCTTGTAATACCCATAACCGATGTTTTACAAGTTAAATAGTTTTTGTTTTAAGCTAGCCTTTAAAATTGGGTAATCGAGTTTCATTTCGCATTACTACTTGTCTCCCCGCTACGGTCCCCACGTTAAGTTCAACGGCATCAGAAATAAACGGCATTCATCACTAATTCATTTTGTGACTATTAGGTTCCCTCGTCAGAATAAAAAAAAATCATGGTACATACAAATCAGTCGCAAAGAAAACTAACACATCTCAACAACTAAAATATTGGCTATACCAAATAAAGCACAAAGTGATCAAAAAGTATGTGCAGTGAGATTTTGAATCCACAGGTACAGTTTTTTGTTTCCTTTTTGTTCATTCCGTTTGGGAAACTATCGTCCGTTGCAATTCAAGAAGGCAGGGCGAGGGAAAGGAAGGCCGGTGAGGAGGAAGCAGACGAAACGCTAAAGAGAAAAGGAGGTTTTCCCCTCTCCTCTTCAGCGATCCGTCTGCATCCTCCTACCCGGCCTTTCTTTCTCTCGCCATACCTTCTTGAGTTGCAGCGGACTATAAACATATACAAAAGACAGCATACACAACAAGTATTTCAGACTCTGACTGTCCACAAAACCAAACTGAACTGTTCTGGACACCTCTTAACATGCAGTACATTGTTCCAATCGTCTCCAAAGGGACACCTAAATTGCTCTACTTTTCGGCCAAACCGGGCCTCAAACAGGCACCTCCCAAAAACATGAAAACATGCAACGACCGGTGGTCAACGTGCTGGCGAGGTGGCAGTGTCGACGCGGTTGAATAGTCCTTGAGCAAAGGTCACAGACACGGGACGGCGCTGCCCCGCGCTGCATCAGGAGGCGCAGACAGGCGCTCCGTTAGGCTTAGGACTTGACTCCGTGCCGAACGTGTGGACGCTGACCGCGTGGGAAACCGACAGCAGGGGGCCCGTGCCATCGGATGCCATCACGGGCAGCGGCCCGTACTGCGAGCCGTTCACGGTGCCCGTGGTGAACGATAGCGCCGGGTCCGAGTCCTGGGAGCGCCGCAGTCCTAGCGGGGTGGGCTTGGCAGAGTAGAGCGCCACGCCGGCGATGACCAGGCCGAAAGACACCAAATAGAGCCAGTGAAACTGCGGGAGAATGTATGACCGTAGTCGGTGTAAGGGCGAGTGAACGTTCTAGCAATGGTCTTCGGTTCTCCGACCAGGACTAATGCTGTGAGCAGTTTCCCTAACTTCCCTGTGACACGGGAAAGTCCATCGAATGATGTATGAGCGATCGGGCAATCAGCGGAGCCACTCCTAGCGCACGCTGGCGCTTGTGACGCCCGTTGTCAGGATTGCAAGCTGATTCGTCGGTCACGGACATATAACTGATGGAAATTACAATACCTTTTCTGTGTCACAGGGTTCTCAGATGGGTACGTCTTCTTTCAACGCAAGTAAGAACCCAGGCTCAGGAGCTGCCTTCCATGTTAGCGCTATGGCGTGAAACACAAATTGCGGTTCGTCTTGACGTGGAAACGGTGTGTGAGAGTGAGCAAACATATAACGCGGTCAGTATCTCTAAAGTTCGTATTAATTAACACCTTTCAAGAGCTGGTAAGGCAGTAAATGTCCAGAATGGGAAGAAAGCCAACATAACCTATGATTACGAACATGCATGAGCTAATCTGCCTGGTAAGAATAAGCCCGGAAAGTAACCTTCGCAGGAATGTTAAAATACAAGAACGTATTAATTTATTTTTTTGATTTATTTTTACATAGTCTGAGGAAGAAAATAACGACGAGCAGAAGTCGACGAGCCAGTGACCAAGGCAGGGAATTTGAATAGGCAACCTCCGGAACACCCTCAACACAGTCATTCATCGTGCATTGTAAAACAACATTAAACTATCTTACAAAAAATTGGGTTGTGTGTATGTCTATACAGCCTAGAACTTCGTCTGCCTCAACGGGCGACGAGTCTCCCAGCTGTAGATGAAAAATTTAGTGAGTGCAGTACAACCATTAGCCTGGGGTCTTTATAACGTGCATCACGCAGTAGTGATACACGACCGCACGCCGGTACGACGCTCATCCAGATCGAAACGGGCAGGGGTGGGGATAAACTATCTTACAAGTGGTAGAGGTCAGTGCGTTTCCTACTTCTGCACTCCTTCCTATCCCCAATTCTGCTCTGTAAGGGGTATTTACATTGCAAAAGGGAGAAATCCCGGGGATTTCTTCCCGGCAAGCCCGCATCACGAGACGAAAACTCGAGGCTTTTGCACATGGCAAAGCCTGACGTTTTCGTCGCGGGATGCGCGTGCCGTGAAGAAATCCCAAGGATTTCTCCCTCGTGTGAATACCCCTGTAACTTCGCAGTATGCGCACAACTACCACCACCATGGCGGACTCGGAAGCCAGCACATCTCAAATGCGCCCCCCCCCCTCCCCCCCCCCCCCCCCGACAACAATGTCAAACACTAGCAGTGGGACCCTCAAATTTTCAACGGCACTTCCGATGTCCACGATTGGCTGAAGCAATACAATCGCGTCAGCACCCAAACCCACTGGGACGACCCCCTGAAGTTGACGAAAGTAGTGTTTTTTTTTTTATTTTTTTAGTTTTTTTTTATAAAAGACACAGCGCTGCAGTGGTTCGACAGCCATGAGGACGACATAAACTGATGGTTTCACAACCGCTTTTTTGGAAGCATTCCGCAAACTTGGGAGCTACAAACAAGAGTCCAAAGACAAGCTTTCCTGCCGCTACCAAACACCCTCCGAGTCACGCACGAGCTATATCGAAGATGTCCTTAGTCTCTGTCGACGCGTCGATGACCAGATGGCTGAGAGCGGCAAGATCCGAGACTTTTGTAAGGGATTGTCTCAGGAACTCTTTTCAATTGCAGCCCCGAAATCCCCCACCACCGTAGAGCAACTAATATCAGAATGGAAAACGTGCGAAAAAAATGCAGAGCTCCCATATCGCAAAGGCCCCTTTTGAACGCGTCCCCGAGGTTTCCTTCAACACGGTCGGCACCACGATTTTTCCAGAAGTGATCCGCACCATCATCCGCGGGGAGCTACGAGGAAACTTCAGCCCACTACACGTGCACCACTAACGACACCTCCGGACAAGTTTTTGAGACGAAGACCACCCAAAAAGTGTTACAAAACAAACTGCGTGCCGCTATCCAGCCTTCCAGTTCTCCGTGCTCGTGCACACCTACACCGCTCATGTCCCAGGCGTGTCGGCCTCTCTGCTCTATACAGCCGGTACAGCATCGCACCCCGGACTTCCACTACACTGTCAGGATGATGCTGTCGGCAGCATAGAGGATCGGAGAGGTCCATGAGAGAAAATATAACGGTTTATGGAGGCCGAGCCGGGCCGTGGGGTTTGGCGCGAGATGGTCGTGCGCGCCACTGCCCCGCGTCGTCTTCGTCTTCCTAACAATATCTAGAAACTAAGCGATTACTCATAACAGTATAGAAAAACGTTAATTATAGCAAGTGGACACCAGCAGAACGACCAGTAAAATCGCTTAATTATTCTGGAGCTACCCAAATTAGTTTCATAGTGAAGTGGTATTAACAAACTTAAAATCTCCTTATAAGAATTCGGCTAATCCAAACAATCATATAATCTGTCGTCATTTCAGGACACCATCTCTGGAAGCGGACAATTTGTTAGTACGCAATGACATAATGCGGAGGGCAAGTTCGTCTGCTTCTTTTGCGGGGGTTGTGGTGACGTCAGAAAGATGCCGAGCTCTGATTGGCTCTGAATGAAGAATAGTGGGTAGCCATCAAGGCAGCTTGCTTTGAGGTCTACCCACTATCCTTCAATCAGAACCAATCAGAGCTCGGCGTCTTTCTGACGTCACCGCAACTAGTGCGCAAGAAGCAGACGATTTGCTCTCTGCATTACTTCGCAATACGCTACTGCCTCACACATTTGCACGCAATAGCTCGGAAGGACGTACCTTGTAGTGGAAGACGTAGACGCCTATGAGGAGCGAATAGAAGTCAGCGGATAGGATTGAGAGGTTCGCGGCTGTGGCGCTGGATAGCCGCATCACCACGGGCATCAGCAGGTACAGGAGGAACAAGCTTAGCGAGAAGCCCAGCAGCAGGGACACTGCGATCACAACGGACAAGTCTCGGCTTCCACACCAGCCGTTGCAATACCTGCCTTTGCTTGCTCTATAAACTATTGGCGATGAGGTATACAGTTATGTCTCGTTAACACGGACCTCGTTAGTGTAGATATCCCACTATGCTATAGCCGAAAGGTTCGGGGACGGGTAAATACACGCGGTGGACGACTGACAACAGGAATAATTTTTGGTGGAGACAGTGCATATTAAGAAATGACTGTATGCTACATCAACCGTAATATGCTTAGGAACGCACTGACAATGGGATACTTCAGTTTACTCATCCTGGGACTGAATGTTTGGTACCTCCAAGTCTCGGCAGCGCAGACGTATAATAACGCTTTTCTGGATTTTTAGACTGCCTGCGGTAAATGGTGACTTTACGGTTTTGATTCGTTATTAAAAAAAAAGCGCGAAAAACACAAATAGAGATCAGATGAACACATCATTCAGATGTGATATGGTTGTTTACAGATCCCTGATTGCATGCCTTAAGCTGTTTTGTATATAATGTGGTCTACCAACAAGCCAGCCAAATCACCAACGCTGACTTTTAATCCACTATATCGGTTATGATCATTTGAGTTTCGGAGGCAATTGCACGCTTAACTAACATTAATAAAGATTTAGTTCCTTAGAAGTAACCTAAATAAAGCTTAAAAGATGATTATTATGCTTCTTAGGCTTAACAAATGCTACTTAAGCACTGCTTAGAAAACGGCAGACCTAAAGCATAAGAAAACTATTTTGATTCATATTTCTGTCCGTTTGTATTAGAATCAATACATTATCATATTTTAAGGTCCACATAAGTATTGCAACAAATTACGGTCAAGTTTGCCTATACTGTACTAAGCTGGTTGAAAACAATTTTGTTTTGTTTTTTGCAAGGTTGCTTGGCAATTTACAAGCAGCGACAATTTTTTTTTTTTTTTAATACAGTCGCTTTTGAAGTTTTGAGAGACGTTGGCATTGGTCATTTGCAACGGCTAGAAATACAAACAATGGCTCACCTTCCTGCCAGTTGTCCCAGTGGATTTCACCCACCTGTTCTTTCTCGAGCAGCGCTCTAAACGAGATAAAGTGAAAAAATGAGTACTAAGCGACGTATCACCGATACTGAGGTGGAGGATACTCATAACATGGCCCCCGAGCGGAGAATATAACATCGCGTGCCGGCATGCATCACGCGAAACCAAATGACACCCTGACACCGATTTCCCCGCTAAGCTTAGCGTCAAAATTGCCATCACCAGACATTACATGACGTCAGCTCGTGTCACGATAATTGTCCCGCTACATTTAGCGACAAACTTTACTTCACGGTGTCAAGTACTGGTGTTTCGTGTTAGAATTTCGTCACGAAACATAACATTCTCCGCTAAATTTAGCGGTGAAATTGTCCTATTGACCGTGACGTCACACGACATTGTCACCTCATGCGGTGAGACCAACACGAGCAAGAAAAGTTCGTGGAGGGTTCCCATATAAAACTATCGCTTCGAAAGGCCGTGAACTGTGAACAAACCGTTCAGATATGGGGTTTCTAGCTTTGCCTCGTCCGATAGCGTAGTGCGCGATCACCCTGGGTTGACGTTGTTCGATTTAAGAGAACTTCGATCTAGGTACTTCCGTGTAGGCGGGCACCACTGCACTCGCCCAAGCCCTACTTGCGCACTCAGAGGGAAGGCCGTCCCACTCACAGCTGGATGCCGTTGATGACGCTCCCGAAGAGCCCCAGGGCTCCGAGGAACTCTACGGCACCGAAGAGCTTGACCGAGGCCTCCTGGGCCGTGTTGGAGACGCCGTACAGGGCGGCCCCGGCCAGGCACAACATGTCGCCCAGCAGGCGGTTGGACGCGTCGGCGGCCTCGTGGGCGTCCGCCCACACCAGGCAGCCGACGCCCAGCAGGGACACGCTGACGCCGAGCACGTGCACCAGCTGGTAGCGCACCTTGAGCGCCAGCCAGGACAGCGCCAGCACCACGGGAATGCTGAAGCAGTCCAGCAGCTGCGAGGCACCGGAAGCGGGATATTGAAGCGGGTTAACCTAAGCCTGGCCTCCCTTCTTCTTTCCCCCCCGTAAACCAGGGGAAGCGCAACAAACCAACCACGTGACCTAATGCCCAGTTCAGTTTAGCGGGTCGTTAGCCCTCTAAGTCCAGTAGATGACGGCACGGTATGACTACCGCGGTGATGAAGGCCATGCAAATTCTAATTTCAATGCCATTAAAATGAATTCCAGCATTAAAAAGTCGCAGGACGGTGGTAGGAAGCAACAGACCTGTATGCTGGTGAGGGTGGTGTACTGATAGGCCTTGACGAGCAGGTAGTTGGCCTCCACGTCGACCAGGGCCACCATGAAGTAGCGCAGGCCCCGGGCCCGGAGCACGGGGATGAGCCCGGCGTCTCCGCCCCGGCACGCCAGCCACGTCGTGAACACGGCGCACAGGAGAACGTAGTTCACGAAGCTCTGCGCTGGACCGGGACAGAGAAAACAAAAAAACTTACGTATATATTCGGTGTCCACGTATAGATGTGACCACACCACCGATGGTCGCAACGTACTGTTTACCCCATGAAAAGCTAAGACTTGGTATAATTTTTAACTATAAAAGTTTTCGTACGTCTACTTTTCTAGAAAGAAGTCAGAAAGTCAATCAGTGCCATTTAAGAAAAGAGCTTTCTGAATGACGAGGATGAAAAGATGCACCGACGTCAAAATGCACTCAGGAATGTGAGTCATAAGAACGCCGTCTTTATGCGTTGAACTAACTGTAAGCTTTAGACTCCAGTCACTTGTGACAAACGAAACGGAAAAGTGTGAGGTCGTTGTCGATGCGAAAAATAGAAGCTGTCAGTTCTTTCATTTTATTTTCTTTTTCAAATTTAATGACATTGTCGGGTCAGATGCATGCGGTTGCATTTGAAAATTCCTTCACTTATGTAGAAAGCGTCGTAGCATGCGGATTACGACACACCATTAAGTTTGTGTTAAACCGAAACTAAGATGTCGCAGGATGGGCTACCCAAAATAAACATACGAGATATCTACGAGTGAGCATGTTTCGCACTTTGGCAAACTCGCAGACAGCTAGAACAAAAAAAAAAGTTTATACTTTTGTTAGTACCTGACGAAATCGTCATACGTAGAACACATTTTTGGATCGGCTAATCTTGATAGAATAGATCATATAGTCAGACTTATACTATGACTTCCAGCGAGATCGCCATTGGTCTTCGATTCGGTCACGTGTCAGTTACGCCAGCCAATGGGAGTAAGGTGGCGCTTTCGAGAGAGCTATGCTATTGCGGTGACACTACTGCAATGGACGCCAAAATTTTACATGGAGTGACATGACATTCTGCTGAATTTGGCAGGTTGTGTGTCGCCACCTGACGTTTTTAACAGATTTTTTTTTTCTGGTTGGGGGGGGGGGGGGGGAGGAAGTTGAACGTACCGAGCAATCGGTGCGTATAAGGAATGGTGGTAGACGCTTATTTATTTATAATAGTGAATGCAAACGTTCGCATGCAGATTCTGGTTATTGTGATATCAATTCATACACTATTTACATATTATTATATAAAAAAAGTGTTGGATGACGAGCCGAAGAGAGGCGTCTGTAATGCACAAAACCATGACAATGAGAAAGGTGAAAACGAGGTTTTTGAACCAAATGTATCAAACTAAAATGAACAACAAAAAAAGAACCTGTTATAAAGTTATATTAAAATAAGGAGTTGCAACGAAGAAGTATTTTGTTGTCACTCAAAAAGTGTACCTCATATATCGCTCAAGCATTTGCAATGTGTTAAGTCACAAGGTATCGGTCGTAACGTCTTGTATGGTTAGCGTCTTGAGTGAAAACCTTGGCTCACTTTAGTTCGTTGAATTATCTGTCTCATTTATAATTTTAGCGATAAAACAATAGAGGGGATCGATCATTGAGACGTGTAGTTTCAATGTAATTCTTAGCCAATTCAGCGAAAGCAAAAAAAGCAAACCCTGGGCAATTGCAGTACCCACTAGTTCCAGTCAAACCATTTTGTACACTGGAGCAGCACTATTTCGGAAGTGAGTAACAATATGATCCCGTATAAAGGGGCTAGGACGCGAAAATTAAGCGGATAAATTTTTCTTAAAATGGGATTGTCATAGGCTACTTAGTATATACACCAAGTGTCACGAGTTTTAGAGCTATAGTAATTGCAATAATCAATTTACAAATTTCAATCATTTTTATTTCGCGACCAGGCAACACTGCCCAAGTTAGTCACGCTATGGTGCCTAAGAACCAGGTGATAATGAACTCTCTCCTATTCTAGGCCCCAGATCGCCCAAGTTCGCCTCGGCGCGGTAGGATCAAAACCGCTCGCGTAACTCGGCATCCCCAAAGCTATTCTCGCTCTCGCCCCCTGACCTTTGACCTTCTACCGTGCATGCTCCTGCGAGATTGTCCCGGACGACGGCGACCACAGCGAGTTCGTCCCAACGAGCTTGTTCGTCCCTGACTCGCCGTCGCTGGAGCTGGCCGCCAGCGGGTCGCGGTCAAAATGACATGCTTCCAACATCTCTGGATAGCAATCACTCTCATTGCTGCTGCGATCAATATCGTACACTTTGACAAGGCAAGCGATGCCGTAGACATAATCGCCACGGACCGTACGCTCGAAACGCGGAAGGTAAACGAAAAAGCTGAAGCTCGAGACGCCGAGAGAGCCAAGTCTGTGAGTGCGTGCAAGGGGACGCCGCGCGCTTGGCTGGTGACGTCACCAGCCCTCCAGCCACGGCGAACTTTTCGAATGGGGCGGATCCGAGGGTCCCGTAGATAAATCGACTTATCCGCGAAACTATAGCGCCATTTTCGAAACAAATTTACCAGGATTATAAAAACATACAATGGACTCTAGCAGTATAGTTATCTCATATTTTGTTTTTGGCGTGCCCTGACCCCTTCAACTTGTGAAACTTAACCCTGCCATTTTAAAAAAGGCTCCATCTTTCAGTAGAGCTGGTGACTTAACACGGAGAGTGGTAAAGAATCCCGTGTGAGGCGCAAATCGAAGGAAAGACAAATGGTTAAGAAACACAAAAGAGAGACGAGTCAATATTTACTTGCTCGCACCTTAAACCGTTGCAGTAGCGAGCAAGCCTTTCCGCCCAAATAGCAAAGACAGCTCTTGAGTCAGGTTTCTCTGGCTACCACCCTTATGTGGGCACTACACCCGCCGGCTGGCTTAATACGCGGTACTCTCTTAACGACGGCGTCTCACCCGTGGGTATCTCCAGGCCGTGCTGTGACTGGAGCAGCTGGCTGGTCACGCCCGTGGCACACAGAAGCCCCGACAGCACCTGGCCCAACAACAAGGCCTTCCATAGCTCCCTGCGTGTGAGAGACAGCACGGGTCACCAACGCCATCCCCTGCACTTACCTCCAGGCTGCCTTACAACGTCGTCCTAAGTGGGAGTTTACGAAGAATGCTTTAAATTTAATAACGCAGTGTCATCCCCGGCTCACCACTGTTCTTTGAAGGCAATGATCGACGTAGCACTAGTCAGTTCGAAACGCTAACGCGCACACCCTAGTCCTATGGGCTCAATCGTGATCTCGAATTGCCCTTCAAAGAGGCACAGTGCTTCACAGGCGTCACAACGGGATCTGGGAAGCATTACTGAGAAGATGCGCAGCTAGAAGTTAATCTGTTAGGAAAGTGAAAAAACAATGCGACAGCCAAACCGTAACTATACGCTGCCTAGAAACTTTCTTCGAATGGCCTGTTTCGCGCATGCATTTCACATTCGGCCCATGCATCGAATTTGGTCTCAAAGTGGCAACAAATGACGTCACAAAATCTGGAGTGTAACACTGTCCGATTGTCGCGATCCTGGTGGTTAGGCGTAGAAGTTCTGGGAAAAAAAGCCACGAGAGAATGCCAGTGCCGCCGTCGTTGCTGCCTTCTAACCCCTTGTTGCCGAAGCTTTCGTGGGCTGTCAAACAGAACAGAAACCTGAGGCAGAACAGGCGCCAGCCGCATTTACCACCGCTGCTCTGACACCGCCAGAATGGAGGCCGGCCACGTAACCCTTCTATGACGTCATCAGGCGGAAACGCACCAATCGGGGACACGTTCCAGGCACCTTAGCGGAGCTAGACAGCGGTTGTGCCCAACAAAATTACGATTTTGTGTCTTTCTGCATTGTTTCTGATGAAAGGAACGCGCCCCACGTCTTGCAAAGGGGACGCGTGACGTCGGGCACAGCCAAGGAGGTTATAAATACTAGGAGGGGACACGTTGCAATATGTCTGAAGCCTAGCCATAGAAAGTTTAAACGAAGTTGCGGCCAACGTGACCGTAGATCTCTCTGGCAATCGGTGCGCGTGACATGTCAAGTGTGAGATGGATGGTTGATTGTAGAAGGATTCCTTGCAGGGTTGCGCGCGCTCCGTCCAATAGATTTTAACAGATCGAAGGCTAGACTTGATGCAAGCAAGCAACCAAGTGGTTGAGGCGGATCACGAGCAGACGACACACCGCTGCTGGTACACGGGACGACAAGGGCAATCGCCGCAATCGCAACGGAGAAAAAGAAAGCCTGGCGTCGGCGGGACGCTAATTTCCTCCGGCTACGGGGTGGGCGCTTGTAGCATGGTCGGCACCCGCAATCGAACTGGCTTTTCTTCAGCGGGGGTTAACTTTCACCGGTTAGCCCTAGGCGTATTAAACACACATAGTTTTACGATAACAGGAATCGATCAAGAATTCTCTCAGATTTCCGACGGTCGCCGAACTGCGGAAGCGATGGTTTGGGCCGTTTGTCGCGGCGGTGTCTGGACCCCATCGAAGTGGAGCGTGGTGTGCTCCGTGCACTTTCAATAGTGAATAAAACATCTCCCAACCTCGAGTCAAGCTGACCTGGTTCAATTTGTCACGACAGCAATTAAACGTCCGAGTGGACGACCTGCATAGCGGCCGCAAAGAAAAGGAAAAGCCAAACGTATTGTAGCGTGATATAACATGAGAGCGTTGAGAGCGCAGCTATAAAATTTGCAGGCGGGCGCGGAAGCGCCCAAGTATTGGTCCAACCTGTCGGGTCGACATATTTACGCAATCCTGTGTGTATATAATTTGTTCTTGCTTTGGCTACTGTAGTAATTAGTGGCCAGGAGATAAAAAGAAAACTCCCCGCAGATGCAAGGTGCAGTACACAAAACACGCCAACAGGCAGTCGTTACAGCGCTGACGATCCACGTTGAATACTATCGTTTTCAGGGTAGTAACGGTCTGTAGAAAACAGAATGCATTTACTTTATAGTTGAAGGTACATAACGAAGCGCAGCAGGCATAGAATCGGTAGGCTGGGCGCGGGCCACAGTTTCTAGCTGCGGGGACTAATAAATGAAACACACCAGCACCACGCTCCCTGTTACCCGCAACCGTCAACCACGCGACGGTCACGTGCTGTGGTCACGTTGGCTCAATAAGTGAGGAGGGTAAGGAGGAAAATGAGAAAGAGGCGAGGCGTCAAGGGAGCATGGCTTGTGGAGTCTAAGCAGCTGACGTCATGCCCCCTCCTACCCTTCTAATCTCCTTGGGCACAGCTAATGCACATCAAGCAAAGCCCTCGTAAAGTAGATTATGTTCCTAAAATTAGAAACTACTGCGGAATCGCTGCCAGACTAATGATTGCGCCAATCGCATCCTTGCTTTACACGGAAAGGACGCCGCGATGGCGACACTTGCCAGCTGCCAAATGCGTCACTTTTGTTTTATTTTTCGGCTTTCGTTTGCCGTCGTAGACGTGTAGACAAAGTAAAAAGACGCAGTTCGAAGAGCTGATGCCTCGTATTCTTGTGTTAGGAGCATATATTTGAATGCTATGACAACGTTGGTAGAAACGCCAATTGATATAGGATGCTTTATTAGATAATGCTTAATTAGTAAGTTATTACGGTGATTTTTTTAAGGCAACTACTACCGAAACAAAAAGTAGGAATACTAGAGTTTTGTCCGACATGCATTTAAGCGTAGAATAAAAGCGTTTGACGTTAAGTTTTTCCACAAAAGTTCCATACACTGAGCACTGTTTACCCCTTATTGCAGTTGACTGAGGGACAGAAAATATTGGTTTGACGTGTGATTAAGTTTCACGGTTGATCTTGTGCTTTCGAATGTAAGATTACCCGTTAAAGTCATGCCAGGTAAATTTTTAATACAACCTAAAAAAAAACAAAAAACTAGGTGATATAAGAAGAAATATGATTACATTTCATTTTGCAAATGAAATGGTGCTAAAAAAAAGTTTTCATTGAGAAAATATAATCGGATAGCTCCACATTAAAGGGGTAGTGAAAAGAAATTTTAGCGCCGATCTTGTTGCATAAATATGGGCTAGGGACAGGCACCACCTCGGAAATATAAATATTGCGCTGTAAAACACAGGAGAACTAATTTTAAACATAATTAAACCATTTCAAATTCTCATCTGGTGGATGGGGGGAAGTTCTCGTGACATCACTAGTGGCATAATAGCAGCGCCGTTCTGCGGCAATACGGCGTGCCGGCAGAATTCGCCTAGGCCTGAACGCGTTTGCAAAGCCTTGGCGGAGAAAGCCAAAGTGTAGTTGGCCACAGTGAGCTCGTTCTCGTTGCGGCTCTTTGCACGACACGACCCGAGCATGCTTCTGGCACGGCAGGTATTAGTTGCTGCGAGTCGCGAGCTGCGAGCCGACGTTAAAAAGGATATGTTTGAACTACGAGGGTGTCAGCAAGAGCCACGCAAATACCTGTTCACACACGGAGCGGACACGCGCGTTTGATCGAAGTGCTGGATTCGCTCTGTTAGACCGCGTTTCGGTAAGCGCTTCTGGACCGATCTTTTACGATTGCAACTCGATACTGACATGACACTCGGCAAAGAAAGGTTAGACCGACATCGCGTAGCTCCCACGAACTGCTATAGCTCGACAGTGACGTAGCGTCGAGTCAGAATAAAAATGGCATACTAATAACAGAGTGTACATACCGAGTTGCGAGGGTAATCCGTATGGCGTTTATTTGAGCTCTATATCACACAAAACAAGGAGATAGAATCAATGAGAGTCCCTTTTCGACGACAGCGTTCGTCACCGCTGTCTCGGAAAACAAGGAGATCGAGATGACAAGGGGAAAATATTGACCTCTGAAATTTAGTTCAGGGATCAAACTACTCATCCGGTAAGGGTCCACAAGGGTCGCGCGGGCATATTCTATTCAGCAGGCCAGCCGGTCATGGACAGACGGTCTTGGCCAAGGACCGCCGGAGCAACGGTGCGCCGAGTCGATGTTGCTGCTAGGCCTACTATATTCTGCCGAGCTCGCTCGGTCGGCAGAATCGTGGCCGTTGTAGCTCTTCTCGTGTGTTTGTGGATCCTGCGTTCTTGATCGTCGTGGTCTGTTTTAAGTACTCCTTCCTTTTTTCTTGCTGGTTGAAGTCGGGACGCACGAGAAGAGCACGTAGAAAAATAAATGTCCGTTGGTGACCGATACCAAGTAACTGAGCGACGCTGTCGGCCTTGTTGATTTGATCGTAAAAAGTGCGTAAGACAGCTTCGGAGCTGTCGTAGGATTCTGTCGTAACCTGCGCAAAGGTTACAACAATTTCGTTTCGAGAGTACGGGTTTTCTCTCAAATTTGTCGTACGCACTTTTTTCGTCGTGAGTTCGCTTTGAGAATCCGGCCTCAGAGATGGTTTTGTCAGTGGTGCCGTGGTTGCCGACTTGCCGTGGTGCAGCGTGCGTGCAGCCCTTGCACATCTCAAACGGCCACGTTGTCACAGGTCGTAAATCGTCGACGCGCCACCAAGTGGCAACGCTCGTAACCACAACATTCACGCCGTAGCCTTTCCCGTCTGGCACAAGTGACGTCACGAATGCGCCCAATATCCCAAGACGCATCGCGCTCTCCGATGGCCGATTTTTGAGCGCGCGCCCAATCGGGCCCATTAGGGTGAAAAATATAGCCATCCGTTCAAAATACAAACGCGCGATTATGATTTATGAATTTCATTGATCATATTGAACCTATTTCTGACCATAATAGGTGTATTTCAAGTTTCGCTTCAGTATCCCTTTAAACCTAGACTTTTGGCTAGAGCATTTAACTTGAACTTTCCGCGAACGTAAGGTATCTAAACAATAATTCTTTCTCGAAAGCGCAACATACTTTACCAATTGTGGGGACCCTGCTGAACCACAAGGAACATTTTTGTCAGAGCTGATGGAATTTCTGGCGCTGTCTCGCGCGCCTTGAAGGTATGCCAATATCGTTTAGTGTGCTAAAGGCTCTCAAGGTTAGTGGTACAGAGGAAGTTTATATAGAGAGAAATAGCGTATTCAGTGCCCAT